TGGATCTGGCTTTGGTTAGTATTGTATGATTGTTCATCTTGTGTGTAACTGAGATATTACAATTAACTTCTTAGGTAGTCAATTCTTAGAATCCAAGAAACTCCGAGGATATAGTTAATAGTCAAAATTTAATCTGAACTTGGCATACTGATTTCAAGAAATTGAATTTCTGAAAAGAGTAGTAAATTTTAGAAATTGCATTCGTGGTGGTATTTTATTGAGGAAGCGCGTCATTAAACCGGCCTGAAATTACACATTTTATTTGTGGTGTATTGATTAAGTTTAAATTGGAAAATATGCATTATGGTGAAATGCACGTAACCTTCAATCATAATTCTTTTACTTTCCTGAGCAAGATTGGAAATCATATGTTTTAAGTTTGATATCTATAACGTTATAAGCTTAGCTTGATTTCTTTTTTGTTTTGTATAATGACAGGACATCATTCTGACTAGTTAGAATCTAAAGATTTTTGTAAGCAATATGGGATGTTTTAAGGTGCTGAAGAGTAAGAAGAAGAAATCTGAGCAGTCCATGCATAATAGACGTGACAAACCTCAGCAACATTCACCAACTATGTTGCCTGAACCTCAAACCAGTACACGTTCTTTGCAATCAGCACCTCCAAGTTTTAGAACTAGGGTCGAACCTGTTCCGTCAAAAAATGGGGTAAGCAGTAGCAGGATACGAGCATTATCTGCCCCATCAAGTCTTCGTGCGGCAGAACAAGATGCATTATTGTCCACTGAATGTGAGGAACAGGAAGAGCCTGAAACTCGTGTTGGCTCAATGAAGGAATATCGTTCATCAAGCCCTCAACCGCTTCCTCTTCCATCACCAGGGAATACTGCTATTCTGAAGACTGCGAGTAGCTTTAAAATAGTGAACACTAGTGGCCCCCTTAATGCGTCTGGACCACTTCCTCTGCCTCCTATGTTGCCTGCTACATTGCCTAATAGAGTAGTTTTATCAACATTATTGCTAGAAATTGGACCCCATTGTGCTGAATGGGCAACTTTCTTGCTGTAGTGAAGTTGATAAGTTTGAGTCCATTCAAGTTTCATACCCCTATACCATCCACAATGCTTGGAAATGTTGTGGCCAAAGCAAAATATAATTAGCCAGTACCCAGCTTATAGTAGAGGCCTTACCGAAATCCTGTAAGGTTTATATTTATTAAAGATATAATATAATTCTACCTTCTCTTTGCGAGATTCTTGAAAAACTTGTGCATTTTTTGGATGAATAATGCTACTTGTATGTAATGAACTTACATAATGGACTACATATAAATGATCAAAAAAAGTGAATTTTTTATTTTTTTTATTATTTGGTTAAGAAATTCTGATCCAATTATATCTGGTCACATCTTGTATATGTAAATCATTATGTACATTTAGTACAACCATTTTAGAATTAGTCTCTCATTTGTTTATCCTTTGCAGAGTGTGAAGGAATTTGTGAACGAGGTGAATACTCTAGCATCCTTGCAACATCCCTTCCTCTGTAAACTGCTAGGTTTTCATGCACGTGAGGGATCAGACCGCAGAATGTTGGTGTATGAGAGGCTATCTCATGGAAGCTTAGACAGGGTTTTATATGGAAGATCAAATGGGCCAGCAATTGACTGGAATAGCAGAATGAAAGTTGCTTTATGTGCTGCTCAAGGTCTTACATTCCTGCATGAAGAAGGACCTTTCCAAGTAATTAAAACTCCTCTAAAGCAGTAGAGGATTGAGTTTGTGCCTTTTTCACACGAGAAAATAACACTTTTCTTTCTGCCACCACCAAATTTTGGATCTAGGCTTGTGTTTCAAAAGATTTCTTTTAATGCTTTGACAGGCAATGTTCCATGAATTTTCGACTGCCAATATACAGATCGACAAGGATTTTAGTGCCAAGCTTTCTGGATATGGTTGCATTAGCCACATACCAGAGACTGATATATCCAACACTTCAGTTGTAAGTGTGGTTAAATAGTATAATCATTTTGTGGCACCAGCTTTTTTCTTCTAATGCTTTCGGGGTGGGTGTGGGGATGTATCACTACATTAACGCTTCTTTAACTAGGTTTATCTTAACCTTTAACTACCCTACACGTTTTCAGGCTCTAGGAAATCTTTCAGTGGAGACCCTGGAGAGAGGGTTGCTAACACCTAAAAGCAATGTATGGAGTTTTGGGATCGTGCTTCTTGAACTTCTCACAGGCAGGAAAAATCTTGACAGTTTACATCCCAAGGAAGAGAGAAATTTAGTCAAATGGAGTCGGCCTTTCCTTGCCGATGACTCGAGACTGTCCTTGATTATGGATCCGCAGCTAAAGGGTCGTTTCCCAGCCAAGGCAACTCGGATGGTGGCGGACATTGCTCAACAATGTCTTCAAATGGATCCATCGGAGAGGCCCACCATGAGAAACGTTGTAAAGCATCTGAAAGTCATACAAGACGTCAAGTATACGTCTCTATTTCCGCTGCAAGAGCCAGGAGCAGTTAGTGGAAAACCTATGTTACGATCTCCCAGCCTGAACGGGATCATTACTCCAGTTCCCAGGTCAAGTTTCTCTCCGTCACCTCCAACAAACAAACCTTCTATTTCTCCAATAAGTCTGCCTTCACCGCCATTAACTCTTCCTCCCCGAACATGTTCTTCTACCCTCTCCTTGGAGAAAATAGATCGACAGGAAAGCCGGAGATCATCATCATCAACTGTTAGAAGATCTGGTGTTGAAGGATTTTGATTGTCAATAGAGAGCATTTTTTATTTTTTATTTTTCCTTCTGGACAGGTGATTTTGCATGAAATAGAAGATAAATTATCTGGTTCACAATTGTTAGGAAGGTCTGGGGGAGTGATGTTCTGTAAATAAGTTTGTTTATGGACCAGTCTGAAATGCTGCTGGGAAGCCTTTCTTCTTACTCCTTTCCCATCTCACCGTGTACACAATGCTTCTGTCCTATGTCTAGTGTTATTACATTTAATAAAGGTCATTGAATGACCATTTCTGTAAGGCCATTCAGATTTCAAGAAAATCTGCTTTCAGGTCACATTAAGTAGTTTAGTAGCTGGTCATTTTCCTTCTGGCTTTCTTAAATTCTGTGCGTCAAGGCATGCTTTTGATGCACACTATAGGATTAGGACTCGATATAGGTTCTTATCTTTCTTAATTCTATTGAATGTTATTCAGTTCACTTTACTAAACTTGTTTCCATTCGTTGTGTATCAATGCCTAATGTATCCTTTTCTTACTGATCAACCACTTATTCTACTGCAAATGGCATCCAATTTGCAACTTTGTCCCCCCCCCCCCCCCCCCCCCAACC